CACCCCCAAATGCCTTCCTCCTCCCCCTGCTACCGCCGCAGCTTCCTCCTCCTGGCCCTCCTTTCGGCGTGCTTCTCGGCGCCGCGGGCGGCGGACGGCGCCGGGGGAGCCTCCGGCGGCGGCGGGGATGCCGCGGCAATGCAGGCGCTGCAGCGGGCCCTGGCGCCGCCGGGCTGGGGCCCGGGCGCGGACCACTGCGCGTGGCGCGGCGTCACCTGCTCCCCCGCCGCCGGCGCGGTCACCGCGATCGAGCTGCCGCGCCGGGGGCTCCGGGGGGACTTCTCGGCCGCCGCGGCGCTCCGCGCGCTGGCGCGCCTCGACCTCTCCGCCAACTCGCTCAGCGGCGCCCTCCCGCCGGCGCTGGGCTCGCTCGCCAGCCTCGAGTTCCTCGACCTCTCCATGAACGCGCTGACCGGCGCCGTGCCGGCCGCGCTCGCCGGCGCGTCGGGGCTGCGGTTCCTGAACCTCTCCAACAACGCGCTGTCGGGGGCCATCCCCGACGAGCTCAGGGCGCTCAGGGCGCTCCAGGAGCTGCAGATTTCGGGGAACAACCTCACGGGCGCGCTCCCAGGCTGGCTCGCGGGGCTCCCGGCGCTCCGCGTGCTGTCCGCCTACGAGAACGCGCTGTCCGGCCCGATCCCGCCGGGGCTCGGGCTGTCGTCGGAGCTCCAGGTGCTCAACCTCCACTCCAACGCGCTCGAGGGGGGCATCCCCAGCAGCCTCTTCGAGCGCGGCAACCTGCAGGTCCTCATCCTCACCCTCAACCGCCTCAACGGCACCATCCCCGACGCCATCGGCCGCTGCCGCGGCCTCTCCAACGTGCGCATCGGCGACAACCTCCTCTCCGGCGCCATCCCGGCGTCGGTCGGGGACGCCACCAGCCTCACCTACTTCGAGGCCAACACCAACGACCTGTCCGGCGGGATCCCCACGCAGTTCGCGCGATGCGCCAACCTGACGCTGCTCAATCTGGCAAACAACCGCCTCGCCGGCGAGGTGCCGGATGTTCTCGGCGAGCTGAGGAGCCTGCAGGAGCTCATCGTGTCTGGCAACGGCCTCGGCGGCGAGTTCCCGAGATCGATCCTGCGGTGCCGGAACCTGAGCAAGCTCGACTTGAGCTACAATGCTTTCCGTGGTGACTTGCCGGAGAACATCTGCAACGGGTCACGGTTGCAGTTCCTTCTGCTTGATCACAATGAGTTCTCCGGAGGCATTCCGGCAGGAATTGGGGGCTGTACGCGGCTGCTCGAGCTGCAGCTCGGTAACAACAACCTGAGTGGTGAAATTCCAGCTGAGATAGGCAAGGTGAAGAGCCTGCAGATTGCGCTGAACCTTAGCTTCAATCACTTTACCGGGCCGTTGCCTCGTGAGCTTGGGCGGCTTGATAAGCTTGTCATGCTGGACTTGTCGAGCAATGAGATATCCGGTCAGATCCCAGGTGATATGAGAGGGATGCTGAGCTTGATTGAGGTGAATCTGTCAAACAACCGGCTCAGCGGTGCCATACCGGTTTTCGGACCGTTCCAGAAGAGCGCGGCCTCCAGCTTCTCCGGCAACGCCAAGCTGTGTGGCGACCCACTGAATGTGGACTGTGGATCAATTTATGGCTCCAATTATGGAATGGACCACAGGGGGATATCTTACAGGGTGGCTTTGGCAGTTGTTGGTTCCTGTGTGCTCATCTTCTCATTGGTGTCATTGGTGGTGGCATTGTTCATGTGGCGTGAGAGGCAGGAGAAGGAGGAAGAGGCGAAGAAGGCCGAGGCAGGGGAGGTGGTGGTGGCAGCCCCGCAGGTCGTGGCCTCAGCCGTGTACATCGAGAGCTTGCAGCAGGCCATTGATTTCCAGAGCTGCATGAAGGCAACATTCAAAGATGCGAATGAAGTGAGCAACGGAACATTCAGCACTACCTACAAAGCTGTCATGCCGTCTGGCATGGTGGTGTGTGTCAAGAAGCTGAAGTCTGTGGACCGTGCGGTCATCCACCAGCAGACGAAGATGATCCGAGAGCTCGAGCGCCTTGCCCACATCAACCACAAGAACCTGGTCCGGCCGATCGGGTATGTCATCTATGACGATGTCGCGCTGCTGCTGCACCACCATATGCCGAATGGCACCCTGCTCCAGTTGCTGCACAATGGCGGCGAAACTGATGGCGAGAAGCAGAAACCTGACTGGCCGAGGCTGCTCTCGATTGCCATTGATGTCGCCGAAGGGCTGGCATTCCTCCATCAGGTTGCCACCATTCACCTCGACATCTGTTCAGGGAACGTCTTCCTTGACTCACATTTCAATGCGCTTCTCGGCGAAGTTGAGATCTCCAAGCTGCTGGACCCTTCAAAGGGCACGGCCAGCATCAGCGCGGTTGCGGGCTCATTTGGTTACATTCCTCCAGGTCTAAACTTTGCCCAACATTTGGTAGCTATACTAGAAGTAGTTCTTGAATGTCTACAACCATGAACAATTGTTTGCCATTTTGCAATTGTTTCCTTGCAGAGTATGCCTACACGATGCAGGTGACGGTGCCCGGCAATGTGTACAGCTACGGGGTGGTCCTGCTGGAGATCCTGACATCCAAGCTACCCGTGGACGAGGTTTTCGGCGAGGGCGTGGACCTCGTCAAGTGGGTGCACGCCGCGCCGGCGAGGGGTGAGACGCCGGAGCAGATCATGGACCCCCGGCTGAGCACCGTGTCGTTCGCGTGGCGCAGGCAGATGCTCGCCGTGCTCAAGGTCGCGATGCTGTGCACGGAGCGCGCCCCGGCAAAGCGGCCCAGGATGAAGAAGGTGGTGGAGATGCTGCAAGAGGCCAAGAACAGCTGAGTGATCTGTTTCTCTGCTGAATGGCTGCGGTTGGTCGCCTGCTTGGAAGCCGAGCCGAGCCGAGCCCCTGAAACAAAAAAAAAAGTTCTGGTCATCGGTTCTGAGTATGAAATCCAATCTGTAGCGTTTGATTCTCTGTATATATTCGGTAATTAGTACCCTGATTATGCACCATGTATCACCGGATGTTGGATCTTGGAGCGTCAAAGCAGAATGCTGCTGCAGGCTTGTAGACTTTGTAGTGCTGCTACCTGCAACTTGCAAGTGAAGAAATGTCTCATACATAGGAGTATATCTGGATGTCTCTTTAGCAAGCAATTTGGTGTTCTACCTTGAGGGTTTTGTTTTCTTTTTTTTTTTGGAAAAAAGGGAAAAGGATAAGAGAAATTCTATCCTGATTCCTGATGTCGTCCGCTTGAAGAGGTGGTTGTGCTGGTGCACTGAATTCTGAACTCTGAAGGTGCCGGTGTCCTTTGCAGTTAGGGTGGTCTTTCTTCTCTAGGAGCCCCTGGCCCATGGCGACGTGGCAGGGGATGGCCTCTGTCTGCTGAGGAATCCATCTTTGTTTGGAAGAAGAATATCTGTTGCATAGAAAATTAATTGCATTTTATTTTAGATCATGACAACATGACGTTACGGCATCGAAATTAACCAATCTTTGTGTCTGCTTGCTATCCTATTAGCAAGTTCTAAACGTCATGGTATCACGATCCATGAGAGTTATGAACCACTAGAGGTAGCTCTGGCAGCACTGTAGACGATGGGAATAGTTGAGGAAAGCGACCTGAGCTTCTGGCCGTCCAAATCACGCTGTTGAGTGATTAACACCCGTGACACTTGCTCAGCTTCAGAATCAGATGCCTCCTCTACTACGAGCAGCAAAGTGATGGCGACCTTCTACGGCAGCCCTCCATGATTGGGCACATCACTAGGGCACTAGGGCATCGTCACTGCTATGCTAAACAACAATCAGCTTGTTCGCTGGTTGGTTTCAGGCAGGGCTTATCAGCCAGTCAACAGTGTTTTCCTCTCACAACAAACCAGCACCAGCAGGGCTTATTAGCCCAGAAACCAACCAGCGAACAGGCTCGATGGCAAGACAATGATGTGTCATGAGCTATGTTTATCATGTGTCTGTCGAATTGAAAAATCCTGCTGTTTTTGCATATGTATGATTAGGTCCTTTATATGTTTTTTTTCTTGTCAAAGAATGGAGAGCAGGAGCTCCATCTGTTGCAACATCATAATTTTTTAGGTTGTCCATGTCGATTATACAAGTTTGTCAAACCTTAATGTCCCAAGTGTCAAATGTAGAAGAACAACGCAAGAAGGGTACTGTGCTCTTGTGGCTTTCAACAGCTGTGTTTATCCTATCATTGGATGGAAATGATCACCTACCGTATCCAATATGAATAAACCTTGAATACAATTGGATTATCCTAATTTTTTTTCCTTATTATTATCAAAGAATGGAGTGCAGGATCTCTGTTGTGTCATCATAACTTTCCAAGTTGACTATATTGATTGTATCAGTTTGTCCAACCTTGTTATCCAAGTGTCAAATTTACATCACAAAAGTGGGTACTGTGCTCTCGTGTTTTTCAACAGCTGCAACCACCATAGCATTCAAGTGGATTTGGAAAAGCAAATGCATGACGAAGCCCAAAGTCTTTGCTTGGCTCCTTCTCATGGATAGACTCGACATTATAGAAACATATCCAACAGCAAATTTTCCTTTTCAATTCATGTACATTACTCAGTTGGTTTCTACTTCTACCTGATGCTGACGAGGGAAGAAAAAGATAAATTCAACACAATTATGAGTTCACATCATCATGTGTTGGCACTCACAGAGACACCGTTGGTAAAGATGATCCAGAACAAGAAACGGGAAGCGGGAAGTCTCTACCATTTTCTAAAAAAAAAAGTTAGACAGGTCACTCTTCATAAGTAAGGTTAGTCGGAAAAATATCCATAATAACAACATACCTTTTTTAGATAAAAAAAATAGCATACACAAACCAAACGGACCTCTGAGAAAGTGCGAATCCTTTCCCATCACTCTTGCAGCGTCCACGTGTCCAATTACTATTGGAGGCGGGTCCCAACCCGCTGCCAGAAATTACCATTCCCTTTCCCCCAACAGATCCCCCGCTTTCCCCCGCAACCGCGTCGGCGATGGCATCCGCGGCGGCGACGATCGGCGACGGCGAGAAGCCGCGCGCGCACCTAGGCCAGCCCCTCCTCGCGCCGCCGCAGCCTCCTCAGCAGCCCTACTACGCCTACCCGGCCGCCTCCTTCGCGCAGCCCGCCCCGCCGCCGCCCCCGACGCTCGTCTTCGTCCCGGTCCTGGCCCCGGCCCCCTGCTCCCCGGTGATCGTGCGCCTCCGCCGCCTGCGCCCGCGCCGCGCGCCCTGCCTCCGCCGCCTCTGCACGCGGACGGTCCCGCTCGTCCTCTTCCTCGCGCTCCTCGCGGGCGCCGCCTTCCTCCTCTACCCGTCCGCTCCCGCCGCCCGCGTCGCCGACCTCCGGGTCGACAGCTTCCGCGTGCAGCCGCCCGTCCTCGACCTCGGCCTCGCGCTGCGGCTCCGCGTCCGCAACCCCGGATTCGTCCTCCCGCTCCGCTACCGCTCCGTCTCCGCCGCCGTCTCCTACCGCGGACACCTGCTCGGGTCCGCCAAGGCGTGGCCCGGGTCCGGCGAGCTTGCGGCCAGGGATGAGGTCTATGCGGATGCCCAGGTGTGGGTGGACGCCGGGAGGGTGCTGGATGACGTGATCGAGCTCATCGCGGACGTGGCCGCGGGGTCGGTGCCGCTGGAGATCGTCTCTGAGGTGGTTGGCTCGATCGAGGTGTTCCGTTTCCACATCCCTGTGAAGGTAATTGCGTGTTCTCGCGATAGATTGTTACGGACTTTGTTATCCTTACCAATAGTTTGCTCAGGAGTCAAGATCGATGCTTGCAAAGACTGGGGCTTTGGAATTGGGTTAGAAAATCTCTAACACTTAAGTACATAAATGCTATAACTAACATTTTTAGCTGTTGGATTTGTTTATAAGTACTACTTTGTAAGATTTGAGGATTTGCATTAGGCTATCAGGGGCCTCATTCAACTCTTCTGGGCTTAGCATACGAGCTCTTATCATGGATTTAATGGTCCAAATTGCTTAACGGGATTTGCAATTTTCCATGATCATAAGGACATCTCTTCGTTCACCTGAGATGTTAATAGTGATATTGCTTCATTTTTAATGGTTCCTAGCTTTCGTGAATGATGATATTGGTTGTGAACTTGTGATTCAATCTGGATTGAAAAGAATTGGAAAGTTTAGTGGTATGGATACTTTATTCAAAGTGTATGGCAGTGATAGCTTGGATGTGGGATGGACAGCTGGAAAATAGTTCTTTCATTCCATATGATATGTCCCTAGCATCTGTATGGACAGCACCATCATACTTGGTGATAAGCGAATATGGAATAGGGTTCACTGGCATCTCCTTTGTTGTCATAGTTCTTTGGCTTGGCATTTCCATGTTAATAAAAGTAAGGGACTTATTTCAACCTTCTTCTGTCTATATTTGTGAGATAATCTAATCTTTACATGTCCAATAATGCATCTGTGTTTTTAGGCTGTTCCTGTATTCAGATATGAATCTGTTAGTTTGCACATAAATGTATTGGATGATGTTAGGGAACTGTCAGAAATAGTTATTTATTAGTACAAATATGGACCCAACAAATTCGGTTGAGTCCATTGGTAAAAGTATGGATTTGTTGGATGACTTTGTTAGTCTGTCTACCTCCATTGTACATTTGTACAAACAACACAGTTTTAGTCCTGAAGGGTAGGTATATCTCAGAGTATTTGCGTTGAATATGGTTTAGTCTCTATATGAATGTGGCCTTAGGCAAGTTTGTTCTAACATAACAATCAGACTCATTAAAAAGAGTGTTTTTTAATGACAATATAAATATGAGAACCAATTACATAGATGTTAACTGCAAGGAACAGTACCATAAACCGCCATTGAAGAATTATTAACATGTAGTAGTCAGTCACATGATTGAGCTGGTGCCAAAGGGTGAAGGAAACAGGATGGTGGACAAATAAGAGTCACCACTCACCAAAGATCGAACTGCTACCTCAGAATCGATATTGCCCTAGAATGCATGCTGTCAACACTTCAAACTTCGATTACTAACACACAAGTATCTGTATGCCATATGGAAAGATACTAGTAGATTTATCATCAAAAGTTGTCTTTTTCTTGATTTTATATACATAAATATTTTGCTAAACCATTTGATTAGGATAATGCAGAAGTACTCGGCCATGTAGGTAATGTACTATCTTCTCCCTGAAAAGGTGGCTCCAGATTTGTTAGAGGCTTGCACTATTACAGTAGCTAGAAGATGAGATGGTGATTTCAATTTTGAAGTTTAGCATAAATTTGATGTTACATTTGATGGTGATGATTGTACATGTGCCAACGTGTACAAGTGGGAAAGACATTCTAGATTGGATAGCTAACTGATGCAAGATTTGAGTTCCCTGAAACAGAGTCATTTGAAAAATTGCGAGAATTGCTAGAATGCGAAGAATATATTCAAAAGAATTGGAATGTGTTGAGTCGTTAAAAAGCAAAACAGTAAATATTAGCTCCTGAAGTATCAAATGTACTCTACTCTTGAAGTTTGTACCATAGAAGCTATTGTTAGATGATGTTTGTACCTTATAAGGGAGCATTAATTCTATCATCCTTTTTATTTTGTTTCAATCTCTCAGGCTTTCCATTTCTTAATGAAAATCTAAATATTAAGCTGTACTCCACTGTCCAGAGCAAAATGCACTTGCAAATTTCTTAATGAAAAGCTCTGCCCTCTTGCCATTTTAGAGTATTCATGTTTGCCATTTAGTTGTTAGTAGTGTTGGTTTCTTAATGCTGCATCTCACTTTGTATCTTTGCGTTATATGTTTTTGATGCAATTCTCGTGTGGGTCAAACCTCTTAACACTCCTGCTGATACAGGGGCTCATATCGTGCTCAGTAAATATCAGCCCAGATACTCAGAGAATCATAAGCCAGGATTGCTATTAAGGTAATGACCTTATGTTCTGTACAATTTGTTATATATAATCCTCTCTATTGATTTAGTGCAAGTTATGAGTTGTGCTATCAGGATCATGTTATGAATCTTGCACCTTTTTTTCTGCAGTGCGAATGCTCCGAGGCTCCCCATCCCTGAAGATATTATAAAACTGCAGAGCCTGCTCGATGGACCTGAAGTATCTATCTGTATATAATCTGGATATGGATATCGTATTGTGTTATGTGTAGGCAGGAATAATAAGTAACGAATAACATGTTGTTGGACCACAAGGTATATGTTGCCTTGCAGTACATATCAGAATTCAGAACTGCCTATGTCTATTTGTAACTGGTGGATGCCACCTTCACCCATATGTACCATAGCATAGAAATTAATCATGGTGTATGATTTTACTAGATCATGTCTGATGCATGGTGACGGGTGGCAGGTAACTTATGATTTGTGGTGTTTGAATTGAAGCATGATAACCGAAAGATTGTTGCAGTCGATATTTTTCGTGACATTCAGCCACTACTAGTGGATTTTGCATCCAAGATCCAACAACTGCTTCCGGTGATCAACATGTTTGATCCAGCAAGCTGGTACTGGTACTGATATCATATAGCATTGTAGCTTGAGGTTCAGACTTTAGGACATTTACAGTCCAGTGAGGGACCAACTTTTTCTCTTACGGCCACCTAAAAGAGAGAAGAAACTTGGCAAAAATTGATGCAATGGTTGATCTTGCTCCAATTCTAAGTGTGGGGCCCTGTGTAAATAGACAACAAAAAGTAGTGGTCACTTGCTCCTGTTGGCCAGCCTAGGAGAAAAATTGTAGCAAGTAACTTCTTTATTCTTCTCTCTCCGGCTCCTGAACTTGCTCCGGATCTAGAATACTTTCTCATTTGTGTAACGTCTTAAAATGATCTTAGTGCCTCTTTGAGGCATGGCCGCATGGGCTGCACACGTCGTTAGACACACTGTAATCCAATGATCGCACATGTTCAGAATCAGAAGATCTGTAGGACAATATTATGGGCCCTGAATTTGGGGAGGCCATGCGAGATTGTTCACTTGTTCACCTTGCATGCATCATTCAGTGCACATAGTTTGGATAATGGTCATTGCCTCATTGGTCATGTTCTGAAATCTGAATGATAATGGATGTGTGCTACAGGAAACGTAGATCGTGGCATACTGGCATCTATGCTGTGGAGCTGCCGATGGTCCAGTCAGAGTCCCTACCGTGTATAATCTGTAAATCAACATATGCGCACTAAGGGTAAACTGGCTCTACACTTCACGCTTTGGACATAATTGGAGTTCATGCCACCTTAATGCACCTTTTGGAACCTCAGTACTGGCCTAGGATCAGGCTGGGTCGCTGGGACGAGTTGCAGTCTGATATCCATGTCCAGTTGGATTAAGCTTTCACTAGTTGAGCAGCAAATCTGAAACTTTCTCCAGAGTTTCTAGTTCATTAACAGTACCATTTTCTCGTTTTCTTTTCCAAAACCACTCTCAGTGTCAACAATGGTTTGGGGAGGGAATTTGCAGTTTTTTTTTAAAAAAAAAACAACAGCATGAACTTCCATGTCGAGCAGCTTTCACTCCATGGATTTGCCTCTCTCATAAGAGAAAGGAAACAGAAGCACTAGGTAGGGAATAAACAAAATAGTTTGTTCAAAAATCCAATTTAAAACAATATTATTTACCAATTGTACCAAATAATGGCGAGTTCTCATAGTACCAGTCACGGTTGCCACTAAAGCAGCTGCGGCTTATTCCGTAGTCAAGAAAAGGAATTATGGATACAAGAGACATTATTCCTCACCACTCTGACAAAAATAAATAGATTCGATGATACAAGCTTGCGAGCATAGTTTGGGCACAGCGTTCCTCAGTTCTTCACGGTGGTGACATGCCTCAGAAGCATCTGAATGACATCTGGGGATATGCTTGCAGCTTGCTGGTTGAGCTGTTCAATTTTCGCCGCTGTCTCTTCCTCGAGGCGCTTGACGTTTGCACCAGAGTCACCACTGCTCTGTAGTCACAAAGACATAGAAGTGAGGTCCTGTAATCCCACGGGGGGAAAAGGTACGGGATTGTGCAGGTGTGCATACCTCTGCGACCTTCCTCTGGAACTCAGCCTCCATCTGGGCACGGTATTCAGCTATTTCCCGCTCAGCCTCCTCTTTCGCTTGCTTAAGCCTCGCTGACTTAGCTATTGAACACAGGAAACATTCATGTTCATATGACAGAATATTAAGAGGAAGGAAGGGGGGTTAAAAGGGGTTGGCTTTTTAGCTTCCTATTAGCTGACAGTTTGCAAACAAGTTTAAAAGACATTTGTGCAGCACATGGTTCACAATGGAATTGCTAATGGGACCGATAAAAGCAAGCAAGATTTCAACCTTTTTTTATTGCGACTTAGCTGTAGAACACACAAAACATTCAAGTTTATACTGCAGGGAGAACATAGTAGTACTTTACATTTTAGCTTTCTTGTTACATTTCACCAGAAAACACTTCACAGTTAAACATGCTTTTGCATACTGGAAAAAGAAAAGTAAACTTATTTTTTTCCCATTTAGACTAAAGATTGCTTTTGTACAGAGCTGGACACTAAATATATCATGATCTCAACTCAGGTAGCTATATGCAAATTTATACATTGTAACTTTGGCGTGAGAGGGCATGGCCCAACAATCAGGACAGGTGCTGTATATTTGGTGGGGAATTCTATAGTAATATCATGCCTTTTTTTTGCCACAGTTCACAAACGAAGCAATACATTACCTTCACTCTCACTCTACAAGCATTAATTGAGGATCAGAGAGAAGGATGTCTAAGTGAATGGATAAAACTCATTCACAAGGATTTTGCTGTCTAATAACGCTATGCTAGATTT